CATTATATCTTTTTTGTGTGTATATATATATATATATATTTTACATATTATTTATTTTATAAGATGCCGAGTGAGGTAAAGTTACCGGAAATGATATTGATGGGTAAGACAAGTACGTCCAATACACCCGATAAAGAAGTGCCAATTAAGAATGTCGTACAATGGATGGACAACAATAGGACCATTCATACAGAAGAAGATATTATCCGTGGTTATGTGTACGGTGGCAAGGCTATTCCTGTTTCGGGTAACTCTTGTTAATTTTACAATAAAAATGCTCTATATAAGTTCTGATGGCTCATGTGCCAATTATAGATGAAGCTAAGAAAGCCATGACTCCCAAAAACAATGAAAAAAGTTATAAGATCCACGGTTTTACAAAGAAAGAAAATATTCCTATGGAATATTGGCTGTCGGATGGTTCTTACGTTATTATTCCTGCTAACGAGGTAGTAGGATTCTCCCATTACGTACAGAATGTTCAAAAAGGTGGTACCAAACTTTGGGAATATGAAGTACTCGTGAAAACAAATTGAAAAGTCTTAATAAGCAGAACTCTAAAAACCATTTATTTCCGAGTTATAAAGCAAAAAATAAATTTAATTACAGCAGATGTTCAATGTGCCCTCCGTTCATTTCAATACATTGGTACGTCTTTTCTTTTTGAAGATTGAATACGGTTAAAGATTCTAGGTTCTATCTCAGATTTTTGTTGACAACAATATAATTTTATGTGTCAAAACTAGACACTGTTAATGATACGCGGGTATTCGTGGATGAACTGACATTGAACAGAGAATTAAAAACTGTTATCAACAGCAACTTAGAAGCTCGTGGAGGATGAGCGATTGTGTAAATACGTTTACATACTCGAAACGAATGAATTATTCATTACATTAAGATTTTTCAGTTTGTTTTCACGAGTACTACATTTTTTAAAATTTGGTACCATTCTTTTTGTGTGAACACTCTGTATAATAGTCGTAAAGTTCAATAATATAACAGTAAAAATAAATAAGAAATTCTTTTACAGGCAGCGAGTGCGCCATTTTATAGTCTAGTGCAAGCCATGGCTGACAAAAATGTTGTTGCGATAGTAGAGAAGGTTTATAGAGCAAATACCGAAACTAACATGGTGGCATTATTTCCAAGTGTTGACGTAGAGAATGAACCATGGGTAAGCATATTCTTTCCATTGTTTCTTATTTTGTTAATGCTAATCAGGTAATGTTTATAATAGTGTCTTATTGAGATCGGTTTACCATTTGAGCGAGATTATGGAGCAATAGCGCAGAAACCATTGAAAAGCGTGATGAATCAACTGTCGCAAGAGCAGGATAATGCAGTGGATGATCTGTTAAGATCCTTAGAATTGCCCGATGCGTAAGTATATGTAACATAAATATAATATGATGTACAATGTATATAACATAAATATAAAATATCCCCAGTGAAAAATTTTCTTATATTATTTTTCATAATATTCTTAAGAATTTGTAATATTTTGTGAAAATTTCTAAAAAAATTTATTATTTAAAATTTATTAATTAAAATTTTTTTAGATGTTATGTTTTCTTTACAAATTATAAAATAAGAAATCTTAAAAATCTTAGAATATTTCAAAATTTATATACATATATA